AATAACTTTCAATGTGTAATTTTTTGTGTTTTTTGATGCTAGCGAATCTTTATCACACAAAAAAACCCTAGGGTCTTTACCACGAAACAAAAAAAAAAGAAAAATCCTTCGAAGCTGCTTCATTTGGTAGCGAACAATTTTATCTCTTAGTTTTTGTTCCTGAAACAAATCAGCATTTTGTCGCGAATTTAAACCAAACTAAATAAATAAATAGTGTCTTGCAGTAGATTGTTTTTCTCCTTGGACAAATTTTTTTAATCAGCTACGATTTCAATCCAATTCACCAATTATTATCAATTAATTAGATTTATTGATTCTATTGTCAATTCATTTGTCTCAAAGAAGAAAACAATTTGAAGAAAAATTACACGCAAAAATTCCGAGAATATTCATTCTGTTTTATATAGACGAATCGAACCGATAATCAAATTTATTTTGAAATGCAAATAATGCCAAGAAAACCAAAACAAACAAACAAACAAAAACGCGATTCTAATTTATTTTTAATGATCAATTGGAAAATCAACAATAATTATAAAAAGGTGATAAATGATTATTTAAAATTAAAAAAAAGTGTATTGAATTCTGAACTAAATGTTGCGTTTGATTCATTTGCATCCAAGCGTTTACGGTTTAGAAAAGTTTGAATTTTCCAGACGCAGCTCGAAATATGGAGAAGGTAACTTTAGTTACCATATATGATATGGTTGAAAAGGTAAGTCATGGAATTAGATTCATGTATATTCATAAAAATTTCGTCCCAAACTTGGTTACCGGAGCTTACGTGCTATTAAAAGTTAATTTGACTCTCATTGACAGCGAGATAAGCTTTTTATTACGGTAAATATTGATGTTATTCAAAACAGTGCGCTGACTTTATTCGAAAGTTCTGGCATCAAAATAAACCGTATGGAAAATATTACAACCCGCAAAAAGAGATGATTTGCTGTAAAGGCTGGAGCCTGAGCTCAATCATTTGCGGCAAACAACAATCGAAACAAGCGATCCATTGACAATTTCCTCGGGCCTGTACAACACACACACGATAGACATTTTTGATTAAGTCAACACGTGCACGTCATTGCGTGCACATATGTTTGTAATGTGAAGCTCATTTCAAGACCATTTATTGGAGGTTAAGATTATTACTGCTCACTCTCTCTCTCTCTCGCTTCCTTGGAAACACAAATTCAAGATAAGAGTACAAGAACAATATTCATATTCTTGATAACGACCGAACTTTTCAGTCTAGTGATTAATAGTCATATAAAAATAACTTCCTGTTTATTAGTCGGAAAATCACAAAATCCAATTCAATCGAATGATTACACGGAATTGATTTTAACGCTTTTTTCGAATAATCTTTCCGGTATAAATATAGAAATATTTTTTCCATTTATAAAATTAAATAGCGATATTTTTCGATATATTTCATCAATTCAGTGCAACAAAATTCGCTAAATCTTTTGCGTCTCTCCAGATCTTATTATTTTCTGTATTTAGGGCACCTTAATACGAGCTTTAATCAATCTTAAAAACCATATTTTATTGTGTTTAATTTTTTTCTAGGCCCCACCTCAAGAAAAAACGTCATTTTTTGGACTTTTCCTCAACATTATGGGTCAAAACTCCGAAATTTCCAGACAACCCCCCGAACTTTCACCAATTTTGTTCGGTCAAGAATAATCAGGTGCTGAACTTACATACGCATGACGATTTTATGGAGTTTTGGTGGATTTTGTGCCGAAAAGTGGTCCGAAATCGTCATTTTTTTCACTAATAGCGCACACGTTTTGAGCCATGTCTCGAGAACTACTTGACCGATTTTTGCCAAATGACCAAAAGCTTTACACTAATATGGATTTGTTTGGAAATTTCGGAATTATGACCCATAATGTTGAAGGGAAGTCCGAAAAATTACGTTTTTTCTCGAGGTGGGGCCTAGAAAAAAATTAAACACCATAAAATATGGTTTTTAAGATTGATTTGAGCTCGTATTCAGGTGCCCTAACAGAAAATAATAAGATCTGGAAAGATGTTTTGCGATAATGATTGATGGTGTCAGAGGGCTTTTTTATCGAAAAAATTCGAACAGCAGGAGGCAATCCCTACAAGAATTTTGCGACAACGTTTACGCAAACGTATCGCCAACCTTCCGCAATGGTTGTCACAAAATGCATGAACTGCGATCAACTTCATTCGAATTCAGCATGTTGTATTTTTAAAGGCTGCAATGGCTGATTATTCTACTTAATAATTATTTTGAATAAGTTTTTATTTCTTATTAGCAACGATGAGTAAAATGAAAAGTTTAAATAAAACCATTTGAAATTATGTTTTCAATGTAATGAAGTTGGATACAATTCAAATTTACAGTTTTACGCAATGCGATATGTCGCAGATATGTCGGCGTAATCATTTTGCGTAAACCTATACATTGAAAAACCTATCGCAATGCGAAATATCGCGGGAAGGTTTTGCTTTAATTCCTCAATGTATCGCAAAATTCTTGTAGGGAATTGCAACCTATATTTGTCATAAGATTTTCAGTCGTGATTTATCGGTAACATTATTGCCCATTCAAAATGCTCTCGATAAAATGCTAGGGGAATATCACGCTCCTGAATCTTGTGAGATATTTGAGATATTTGAAATAAACATCAATTGTATGACATATTTTCGAATATTTTGAATAAATAAATCAGATTTTTGTGGATTTTGGAGATATTTGAGATTTTTTGCATTAAATCCGAATAAATACATTTAAATATCAAGATGAATATTCAAATCTTGGCAAATTTGCCGAAATGTCTTCGGGTAGGGCGATTTCAATTGTAGATTTTATGTAGTTTAATGTAGTGTATTTCCTTTTTTCATGTAGGAACAATTTTTTTGAGTAATCATTCCACAATATTCCGCCGTATTCACAAATATCCACCATATTTCATATGACAGATTCTTAGAGATAAATTGGATTTTTTTTAAATATTTGAAATAATTTAAGCGTGATATTCCCCAAGATAAAATGTTACACACATAATAATTTAATATTTACAGTGTGTTTTCCAGTGGGCATTTGCTAGCCCGCATCAATGAAATGCATTTTTCAGAAGCTATTTCAAATAGTGCTTCAACCATTCCAACATGGCATCTAATTTTTCCGCCAATTCGGATTGCAAACGCATAGTACATGCTCATATCTTTTTGCGATTCTGTTCAGAATCAAGCGCATTTTTTTGCTTCGAATGAAAATTCCATTCATTTTTTATTCAGGCTGAAATCGAACAAAACCCAAGTGCAAACGTTACGTCTTTTAAAAGACGTGGTTCACGTATTCACGCCTTTCTCACGTCTTTTATATAATTACCACACGAAAGACGTACGTCTTCTGTGCAGTGCAACTTGTGCTTTTGAGCGGCGCGAGATAGCGGTAGCGCCTAATTAGACAGCGTGGTTGATTGTCAGAACTACATGACATTCTGTCAACGTTCCTCAATTCAGCTTCTTTAGGTACTCTGTGTAAATGTGTTTTTTATTTTAATAAACATCCAAACAATTTTTTTCAATAATGATCATTATGGTTCGAACCAAAATGATATATTCAATGTTGCTTAACATACTTCACTTGCGTTTTGGGGAAAATGTGTGAAAATTTTAAAACTTACTTGAAGAATGAAATATTTTCCAAAAAAGTACCAAATTCATGTTCACAAAATTTAATTTTGCAATATCGTTTTGTGGGCATTTTCATAAAAATATAATTTATTCAATAACGAAAGAGAATATAAATGTGTAACAAGCACGCTGTGTGTGACACTTATAACTTACGTACTATTGCGAAATAGTTTGAACTACTAAATGTTAAATATTTAAATTCGCGCCGCTGAATAGTTGCTAAATATACCGCAGATCCTATTTAGTCGCTACCGCTATTCACTGTCACGTCAAATACATTGGTTCTTATGGGAGAGAAGCACAGGTTGGTGCAGTGATAAATAGCTGAAATTTCCGTCACGCCATTCTCTCGTATTCTGTATACCATTGCACAGAAGATGCACGTCTTTCAGACAGGAAATTATATAAAAGACGTGAGGAAGGCGTGAATACGTGAATCACGTCTTTTAAAAGACGTAACGTTTGCACTTGGGAAGCGACCAGCTGAATCACTCCTGGACAACTTAACCCTCTAATGCATTAATTTTTCCCAGGGAGTACTGGTACTTGGTTGATTTTTGGCCGTGGATGATTAAAAAAATATTCATAATCCTGGATTCCTCATGGTTCAGTAAGAAAATGCGATTGACATAAATCAGAGAACAATCAAATCCATTGTTTAAAAGTGTCAAAAATGTGTCTAATTTCGAGTTCGAATAATTTATTTTGTCAAATTTTTGTTTTTGCATACATTTTTGTTTATAACTTTACAATCACACTACATAGACAAATATTGCCAAAGACAAAAATAAAGAGAGAACATTGACGAATAAAAATTCTTTTTGAAGCAATGTGATCCGATGTACGGTTTACGTTCTACAGGCGTTCAAATGTTGCCCGTCTAGAGGCGGTTGTATGCATTGGAGGGTTAATAGGCAGATACCAGTTTTATATTATTGCAAACGAAATTGAAATTGGTAGACAAACGAGTTTGTTGTATTATATATATTTTGTGTGTGTATCGAAACGTATCGGCGAAAGCCATGTGTCGCCGTGATACGCAAGCAGAACATTTCGACGATAGTTGAGTTCTGTGCCGGTATTCTAACACCATTCCGAACAATTTGTTCGGAATTATTCCGAGCGATCAATCGTATTTTGGAAGGTGGAAACCAAACGTTCAATCAATGAAAAAGAGACAAATCCATATATAACGTTTGGATATCACCTTCCAAAACAAAATTGATCGCTCGGAATAATTCCGAACAAATTGTTCGAAATGGTGTTAGAATACCGGCACTGGTAACAAAGTAAGCCCAAACAAAAGTCATTGTGATAAATACAAGCGTATTACGTAAAATATGGATATCAAACGATTTGAAATTCAACAAAAATAATTTACTGTCTAAAATTTAGTGTCGTTGTTGAAGCACGTGGAATACCGAAATCGCATTGAATAAAAATCGCGGCGGCTGTTCGAATGTACACTTGCATTTTTACTGGGCCGTATTATTATTTTTTGTCGTTCGTCGTTTTCATCTCTCTCGTTTGTATACCATTCTCTGATGTGCGCTTACGTTCACTAGGAACTTTATTGGTAATTTAGTCATTTATATGCCATCAATGCGATAACATCGTGTACGATTGTTACCTGTAAAGCGAGCAGCTGAGCGAGAAAGATCGGCGGCGAATAATCCGTGCACGGAACATTTGCACAATTCTACGAACTGGTGAACACTGACATTTATTTATTTTTAACACGAATCTGGTTTTTTAAGGGCATTGTGATCTATTCGGTTCGTGAACGTTTGGTAACCATAGTATGGTGTTTTTTTTTACAAGTTTCAAGTGTCGTATTCATTTAAAGCGCAATTTCTATAACGGCACAATTGCTGCCGATCATCGTCGAAATCGTGTATAAAAAATAGATAATTTATTTTTCTGATCATTAAAAAAGGAAGAGTCTCTATATCCATAAAAGATACGATTGTATCATTTTGATGAGATTTGTGCATATTTCCGTCCTCATCGAAGCATTCGAGCAGATGCCGTAGTAACGGCCGATTCGATTCAGTTCAACAGTTAAGCAAGTCAAAATAGAACTGTTAATCAAGTCAATATCCACGTCGAAGGTGAACAACAATCAGTTTTGAGTTTGCACACGTCAAAGCACTAGAAACGATATTAAAATTAGTGCGAATGAAAGTTGCAAGTACTTAAAGTAACGGGCTTCAACGGCGAATTGTGTACTTTCGAAAAGAAACCGACATAGAGAGAGAGAGAGAGAAAATGAAGAACTGAACAAAAGAATGTACATTGTACAATAGCTTCCTAGTTCACGCGCGACGTGCAAAACCAATACGCAAAAATCCAATTCTTCTTGGGTTGGCTTTCATTCATTATTCAAATAATTCGGAATATTTATGGAATTCATTCGGTTTGTCTGGCGCACACGATCGCGTACACACACGGTGTCTCCGTAAGGTTATTTTTTCATTGAAGCCACCTCATTTTTTATTCGACGACCAAAAATTATTGTAATTATCATATTTTGTCGATTTGGATTGTGTGTATTTAATTGCATATGATCTATAAAAACTATATATTGTATGTTCACGCGACCCAACTTATCATATGATAGCGCCGAAACAACGAACGCAAACGATAACAACAAAAAAAAACAATACGCGACGGGCATCAAGGTTGAAAAAACCCGTTTTTAAATTTCAAAAAATGCAAATTAATGTTTGAGAATTTGTTTGAAGCTCACTCTTCGAGCGGCTCAATTAATTTTGGCGAACTTTTTCCTATTCGTTCGCTTTGTCCGGCTTACACTTTCACCGACATTCGATTGCAATTTCAACACGGCACATTCAAGATTATGAATGATTTATCACTTCTCTTGGTTTTGTTTGGATAACGTGCGTGTGTACGATTGAGAGACAGTGATTGCATGACATGTATACTATACAAATCATTAACCAAACGACAAAAGTAAAGTGATGCTAAAATTGAAATATCTAAAGAGGCCATTTTATAACGGCAAGCATCGTCGTCATCGTTTTTGTTGGAAAACCAAATCGAAAGACTGCAATGACCTTATTTTCAGTGTGTCTATCATAAAAATAACTCATGAATATGATTTAATTTTAGCCAAGTGGTCAGTCGACTGATCCGTTTAATCAGAAGTGTGTTACACCAGACGAATCTGTGATAAGAGACGGTTGTAAATTGGATCTGTTAAGCGGAGCAATAGTGTTTATTGAACTCGTGTCATAATGCCAGACAGAGAGACTGGAACGCAGAAAAATGATATCGGGTGAATATGACCAGTTATATTTCATTTCGAATTATCTAAGACCAAATGCAAATGCAAACCATTCGTGGGAAAAAATCGTATTTAACTTTTATAATCTAAATTTTAATCCAGTGCCATAAAGCCCGAGATAGAGCCGTTATCATGGCGATTTTGGCGAAAAAGACGTTACATTGTTGTGATGATGGCGTTTTTTGGATTCTTCAATGTGTACTCATTGCGTGTCAATTTAAGTGTTGGAATTGTTGCGATGACGGAAAATCGAACTGTTTATTATGAGAATGGAACCATTGGATATGTAAGTGTGTTTGATAACACAGTGTCACGTGGTCAATACAATTAAAGCGAAATAAACTAAATACGCTTCGGTTTACAGGAGCAAGATTTTCCATGGAATACGAAAGACCGAGGATTGATTTTGAGCTCCTTCTTCTGGGGCTACATAATGACGCAGTTCATAGGCGGCGTGCTTGGTGCAAGGGTCGGAGGTAACCTTGTGAGTATCATTTTAACTATTAACGACCTTAAAATGCTTCGCTCGAAGAATACTTTCCGGGTCTTTTTTGCAAACAATATGGAAGAGATTATTTCATCAATTAAACTATACGGAAGATTACAATCGTGAGCTTTGGCGCATAGTAAAAAAAACATTTTGTATACAGTACCTTTTAATGAGTCAATTGTGCCCTATTCCAATTGATAAAAACATATAGGATTCAAGTAGTTTTAACGACCAAATTATCTCATAAAACCCGCCTAAAACGGAATGATCATTTTCCGAAATTGTAAGTTACACGTGCTGCTCTGGTGTAAAGTGAATACAACTGGCTACGTTCGGTATTCACCCGAATTCGTCAAATGAACAGTTAAAAATAACGGAATTCCAATCATTGTTTTTTTTGTTCATATTTTGCGTTTCAGCATTTTGTTTGCTAAATCGATTTCCGATCGGAATATCACGGCTCATTGCGTTTCATTTGTATATTTTTCGAATACAGAAAATGAAATATGTGCGAGAAGGGGAGATGCATTGAACGAACCGGCTATCAATACAATCACTATCTCATGCAAAAAAAAATATTCGTTTGTCGTTCACATCTCATGTTCATGTGGCACCTTCAAATCTCCACGGAGATATAACAAGTTACAATCAAGAACGTATGTACGACAAACGAATATTTTTTTTTGCATGAGAAGTGATTTAACGTTTTATAATATCGATAGTATCGTACGTTGCAAATGTCGATTGGGCATTGCGAAGGACAACTTTCATTTCCCACATGTGAATTGCCCGGCGAGGGAATAGAAAATACGAATTGCATACCCAAATGCATGAATAAAACAAACGAGAAGCAAAAAGAAGCTTTTTATTTCCATTTAAGTGCATTTGCTTTTGTGCATTGCACAAACAACAATCGTGTGCATTGTAATATAATAACAGTGAATTAGTTGAAATACGAAACACCACCGAAAATAACCATAAACATGACATATAGAAATAATTTAATGTCATCTCGATGGGTGCATGTTTTTGTTTTTGGAAAATTATAAAAAAATTCTTACTACTCATCGGAATTGAGAAATCGCAATAGAGATGTAGTTGCCGAGTACATGGCACTGAATGGGTTTTTGTTGATTCACGGTTTGCTACGATTCTAGGTATTCGGCATTGGTATTGCTGTGACATCTGTGTTAACGCTGCTCACACCATTAGCGGCTAAGGCCGGTGTCAGTGCATTAATTACGGTGCGAATAATTGAAGGCATTTTTGAGGTGAGAAAAAAGATTCTAAATTTTGTAATAAATCAACCAGTCGATACATTTCCGTCTGATTGCATTTATTAGGGCGTTACTTTTCCCTGCATTCATGCTGTATGGTCGCGATGGGCTCCACCTCTTGAGCGGTCACGTATGGCAACCATGGCTTTTGCCGGGAATTATGCGGGAACGATTGTTTCAATGCCAGTCAGCGGTATACTCGCCAATAAACTTGGTTGGGAAAGCTTGTTTTACGTATTTGGTAATGACATTCATGTTCGAATTGTTGAAATTGTTGTGCTGAACATTATAAAATGTCGTTAATTAGGTGCCATCGGTTGTGTTTGGTATTGTGTTTGGGTGATTGTTGTTTGTGAAAGCCCTGACAAGGACAAGAGCATATCTAAGGATGAATTGCGTTACATTCAAGACAGTTTGGGCTCAAATGCAACAGAAACCGTTCAACATCCGTGGAAAGACATCTTCAAATCGAAACCGGTGTACGCAATCAGTGCTTCGCATTTTGCTGAAAATTGGGGATTCTACACAATGCTGACGCAATTACCAAGTTTTCTTAAAGGTTGGTTCACCTTGCATTTCATTTCATGATGAATTGGCATCAATTCAAACATCGCCATTTACTCCTTGCAGATAGTTTGGGCTACAAACTGGAAAAAGCTGGATTCTTATCGGCCGCTCCATATTTGGCAATGGGAGTACTGCTTGGTATTTCTGGATACTTTGCCGATGTGTGTCAAGTCGAAGGCTGGTTAACAACTACACAAGTGCGGAGATACTTCAATTGCGGAGGTTAGAACGAAAAAAAACTGTTTTTTCTTTCATAAACGATTTATCGTTGAATTGATCAAATAATAATCCGGTAAATTATTGTTGAGTGCACTCATGAACAAATTCATTCAAATCACATTTGTCTAGGTTTCTTAGCACAAACAGTCTTTCTGCTGACAGCTGGTTATCTTATGAGTTCAGTTGGAACAATTTCTTGTATTATAATTGCCATCGGATTGGGCGCATTTGCTTGGTGTGGTTTCGCGTAAGTAAATGAAAGCAGCAGCACTTTTACTTCATTAATTAATTTCTAATCTTTCAGGGTGAATCATCTTGACATAGCTCCGCCTCATGCCAGTGTCCTCATGGGCATTTCAAACACGTTTGCAACCATACCAGGCATTGTTAGTCCAGCATTAACCGGATTCATCGTTACTAATTCGGTGAGCAAATTTTCGACGTGAATTGATTAAATCAGCCCAAATTTTTTTCTTCTGATAATTCTCTCTCGTTTTCCATTAACTGGTTTTGGTTTTGCAAAACGTTCATCAAACTAAACATAATTCGGATTTGTTCAATTTCAAAATGCCTTTCCCTTTATTTTTCTTTCACAGACTCCGGAAGAGTGGCGAACCGTGTTCTTGATATCATCATGTGTGTATCTGTTTGGCTGTGTTATTTATTGGTTTTGGGCAAGTGGTGAGGTGCAACCATGGGCTCAAAAACCATCAGCTAGTGAAACGAATAAACCAAATCCTCGGGACACAGCGACATATGTTGGCTATGCCAACGAAGGACTCGAGATGAGTGAATGAAAGAATGTAATGTAGAATAAAATATCAATATGTAGTTGTGGTGCGAATCGAAGTTCCTAATCCGAAATCTAGATTCAGTTGCGAATGTTTAATGTTAAGATAAGTATTAATTTTGCACATTATTATTAGCAAAATCGAAAAAAAACCACTGAAATTCTTTACATTATACGAAGCGTTGTTTTTCTTATTTATTTAACTTTGTTTCTCTTTCTTTTAATTACATAATGCGAATGCCTTTTTTGTTCTCTGTTTTTATTTTGTATAGAAAAATTAATACACATTTAATTAAAAATGCAAATTCACTAAATTCAGTTGTCTAAATGTTCTGTAGTTCTCTTTCAATCTGTAAATATGTGACATAAATCGGTGAAGTAACAGAGTAAATATAACAATAACATAAATGGGGAAAATACCTAAGTCATCTCTTTTTAATGGCCATTGCAGATGCATACGATACGTGTACCGCTTTTCTTCTTCATCATCTTCATCTCACTATTGCAATAAATTAAAAACTTAAATTATACACAAACGAATTCACTGAAATCGTCGAATACAATGAGAATCATTCATTTGAGTGGATCAGTTTCTTCTTTTCTTCTTGTTATTCACTTAAGTAACTAGATTGTGGAGCTTATATGTCAAATTAAGCGACGAGTGATTTGGCAACAATTAGCTATTTTAGTAGACGAAAAAAAAATCAAATATTCAGCAGTCCCATGAGATTCCATGTGTTCAAGAAATAATAGAGTATGTACCTATAAAATGCAAAAAAATAATAAATTTATCTCTTAATTCCATCTAAAAAGGCAAACATTCAGCTGGTAAGCTAATTGAATTCGTGCATTTTGCTATGGCATTTCGAACAAACGACAAATGTAAAAGGGACAAATAAACATCGTAAAAACAACCATTCAAGCCAGAGGCGAAAAAACCATTCGACGAGATATAAATTGCGCATAATATGTTTATGTGTTCATGAACAATATTTAAGATAATTTTAATTGATTTTTTATCTAAATGTTCCTCTTCCATCTGACTATCTGTCTATGTTTTTCCCTTTCTATATCTCTCTGTCTCCCTCACTTGATCTTTGCTTTTGGTTTCATTTCCTGATATAATTATGATAACAATTTAAGCCTTACACATGTAAATAGTGAACCTTCAATTAAAGCCTAATTGCTTCAAAAATGCATAAGCCGCAACTTCTTTTATGACTCTCCTCACTCATCCATTTATAATGTTAACTAGTGAATGTAAATTGTTCGAAAAAAAGACGCTTACTCCATCGAAAATATAATGTTCGTCCAAAATTGACTATTTTGTGTGTATTTTTTTCTTCTTTTTCTCTTTTATCATCTTGTTCTATAAGCGAGCCCGAAAATAGAATGGTGTTGATACGCATTTGTTTAAGTGCAAGAAAGAAAATCAATATCGAAATGTCTACAATGTGGTTTCTGGCACGAGTTTTTTGTCTTCTGCATCTTGTTTCGGTGATAATTCTTTTAGCTGTTGCTCCATTCGTTTGAGTCGTGCTTGATATTTTCGCTTGCATCGATCCAACGATTGTGTGAGAGATCTGAAATTGCGGAAAAAAACAGTTTTGTTTTGTGAAAATCGATGGAATAAACATCGAAATTTTGCATACAAAAAAGTATGACTTACAAATTGGCCTGTCTAAGTTCGGCCACCGTCGATGCATATTTCTCTTCCGACGATTTGGTTGCTGTTTCCAACGAACTAGCCAGTGCTTGAAGACGTGCTTTCAACCGTGATTCACGTGCTAATGCTTCAACCAATTCCAGTTCAATGCCCGCAGTGTGCTCAGCATCTGTGTAAGAGGCACGCTCTTTATTCGACATGGCAAGCAGCGCTTCCGAATCGGCCAGTTGCGCTTGTAAATGTATTAAGGCCTCAAGCGCTAGATTTTTCTCCCGTTCAGCCTGTTCGGCTCGATATTTCATATCGTTGAAATTCTCTCGAACATTCATCAGTTCTTCCATTAGAACAGCCGTTTCCAGATCGGCTTTCCGATTTTCGTATTGGATATGCTCATTCAATTTTGGACTGTTTGCTTCATAATCCTTGTACGGTGATTCCAAATTAACAACGGTATTCTGTACGGCGGCTCGTTGTCCCTTCAGTTTTGACATTTGTTCGCGCAACTTTTGATCATCTTGATCGGTCCATGCGTTGTGATCGTTGTTGATTCCACCGTACATCACTGTGGCTGCATCTTGCCACGGTCCCAAGCTGTTGCCTTGAATGTTTTTGTCGTTCTCCAGGCGTGCCATCAAACGCTTTGCAACTGATTCGGCTGCTTTGCGATTCTCAATCGCTGATTCGGCATGCTCTAAAATTGCTAACTTACTCTCCAATAAAGCCAGCATTACATCATATGCTTCGATGGTGCGATCACTAAGATTCAACGCCTGATTCAGTGCGATCGCATTCGATTCGTATTTACCGCACAATAAGTACAAGTGTTCGCAATGTGCTTTACTATCACCCAAATTCAATGACAACAAATTGTTTTGTACTCGCAAATGATCGGCACATCGTTGCAGCCGTTGCACTTCAACGTCGGCATTTTCCTTGCTGTCGGTTTCAATGTTTCTGTGATTGCGTTTTGTTGGCGTGTCACTTCTCTGCATGGCACCCTTTTGTGCCAATTGATTTGTGTTGTTGCAGCTGAACGAGGCCGAAAAACTATCACATAAACCGTGTGATACTGTCAGTTTTTGTTGCAATTTTTGTTTATACTTTTGAGCTTTGGTTGCCGACTCATCGAGATGAGATGTGTCGAAGATTTCTGCCGTTTCGCATAGATCGTCGCTGGTGTAATTTGACCGGGCATTCGGCGACACACGAAGATTCACAAAATCATTTCCTTTTCCGCTTTGTGCGTCATTGTCCACGTTATCCTGAATCGATGCCAATTTCGATTGCAGTAATGCCATGTGGCTACGCAAATACAAAATCTCCTCTTGCATTGCTTGAATCTAAAGGAAGATAGAAAAAATAAAACAGTCAAACAATTGACACCAACAAACTGGATTTGTTTATTAAACCATTTATTTACACTTGCCTGCACTTGTCCACCAGCATTTGGTGCCATTTGTGGCATCGAATAATGACTCTCTGACTTTTCTTCGGCCTGTTCCAGTTTAACATCGAGCGGCTCAGTTTGCGATTGTTGTTCATAGTTGATGCATTCCATTTCCGAATTGTACACAGATCCTTCTTGAAAACTTAATTCGCTGACTGTGAGTTAGGGCACCGAATTGTAGAAAAGTAAATCAATAAATTTCATATTCAATATATTGAATCCTATAGGATAAACTACGATCATTAATACAACTCAGTTGCCCGTTAAACTGAAGTCTAAATGATAAATGTTTTGGATTATCGCTTCGCACACACTTACCGCTTCGACTTCCGTCTGGCTCTTGATCTTCGAGGATTGCGTTTTCCTGTTGGAATTTCAGCTTTTTATTCAGTTCAACAATCACACAATGCATCTCAGTGATGCGACTTTCGTGTGCAGCACCAATTGATTCCAAGCGGCGTTGTGTTCGTTCTTTGTCATCAAGCGAGTCATTCAATTTCTTTTGAATTGAATCCCGTTGCTGTTCCGATATTTTCAAGCGTTCCGACAATTCGACCACTTCGGTTTCGAGTGCAGATAGTGCAGCAACTTGTAACTTGTGCGACAGTAGAAATAATCACAATTTTAGGTTTGTTTTTTTTTTTTTCAATTAATCCAACAAGAAGAAATCAATTTTTTTCTGTACTAGTATATATTTTCGCCAAGTAACTATATACACGGATTTATGTGCGCAGGAAGCTGGAGTATTTAATCACAGCGAATAGATTGAAAGAAGAAGAAGGAAGAGGAACAAAAAACTTGAAACTTTTTCGTGATGGTTATCTGTTTTTGCATTGCAATGGCACGTATTTGGCGAATTTACGACGTAATAGTCTCTGTGTTATGACCCGAAAACCAAACAACACTGCATGAATATCGAACGAATAAACGTTTAAATGCAACATTTTTTCTTTCGCTTGTTGTTCTTCTTCTGTGCTCTTCTTTTTTTTCGTTTTCGAAAAAAATTGGAAATGTGAAAAAGCACAGTTTGTTGTTTACATAAATAGAATGCAAGTGGTGTAGAGAGACAGAGAGTATGGAAATGGAATTATGAAGAGTGTGCGCAATTCATCTTTAACTGCGATTCAATAGTAACCTTGATATATGTGGTTATGTCATAGATTTACGTGTCCTTGTTTCGTAATGATAAACACTTGAAATTATGTTCGGTTCGGTGCCGTTTTTTTCTCTCCCTCTCTCGATTGTCTTTATTTTTGCCTCAGCCGCTCAAAAGGCAATAAATCGGAGGATTCATGTATCGATTTTCGTTTCGAGCGTGGAATTTGGAGACTTAAACGAATAAATAAAAGCAATAAAAAACTGAGAGCCTTACTTTACTGGCTAAATGTAGCATTGCCGATGTTCCACCAGTTTCGGTGTCCATTGGTTGTGTTTCGACAGACACAGACAATGTATCATGCACTCGATGCATACTTGGTTCGGGTGATAAATCACGTGCACCTGAGTCTCGTCCCCATGACTCTTTACCATATGAATTTTTACCGAAATCAGCGCCACCGCCGCCGCCACCCCCACCGGCACTGCCACTGCTGCCGTTGCCGCCACAAAAATCAAATGGTTCGTTGAATGAAGAATGAAATTGCTCCGGCGATTGTCTTGTTTTGCTATTGCTTGATGCACGTTTTTCCTTGCGTTGTGACGTTCTGCGTGGCGATTCTTTGGTGGTCGGTGCTGATGGTGTTGCGTATTTATCGTTTTTCTTCTTGAGATCACGCAATAACGGCTCTAATGGTCCAGATATGCCAAGGCGTCGACATGCATTTGCCAATTCTTCCGCATCGATATTTCCGCTACTAAAATCACTACTGTTCAACACAAACTGACCAAATTTACGGTCGTCCACTTCTTTGAACTCCGACATTTAACAAAATCGTCGATTTAATGCCAATTTAATTGAAATTGAAACGAAAGGAAACATACAATTCCAATTAATCACTTTGAAATGCATCGAATCGCTTGCACCACATATTTTATTTCCATACAAAAATTAACTTGTTTCAATCAAAATATGCTTCGATCTCACTGAGTTCAACTCGATTTGTTCGATTATTTCATTGAACACCGCACCCATGATTTTATTTGTTTTTGTGCCGATTCAACTCTTTTTTTCACTCTCGTCCGGAAACAATGACTAAATCAATAGACGATTCGAAACTTTTCTTGATTTTCTTTTACGACTGCCCGACAAACAAAAATCCATCAAGCAATCGTTGGCTTATTTGCAAAAACCAAAGTTCTACACTATCTAATTTGTTTATCGTTTGTTTGGCATTGAATGGGAATTTTATGGAAAACACATTAAGCACGCCATGTTTTATGCATTTGACATTTCCATTGATTTGCTCTACGGAATCGGTCTTTCTCTTTGTGTGTGCCGTAATGTGTATGGACGATGACAACCGTATCGTACCAGTGCATTTGTACCGTTTTTTTCTCTCTTCTTTCCTCTGTGTGTTTGAAAAGTATCGAACAGTGGATGTTTTGAAGAGAAAAAGTTGAAAAATTATTTGAAACTGAATGTTTTTCAGAGAAATAAACGATTTAAAGTCTAAAAGTCAAACTATTATTCAGTGATAAAAGTTGTGATTTTCTCATTTGGTGGAAACCTTTCAACGAAAATAGCAGTTATTTGCAGTTGAATGGGTGAGGTTGAAAACAAGACATATTTCCACAGTATATTTAAATGAAACACCAAAGAAAGATTTTTTTAAAGTGTAACATCGGCAGAGAGTTTTTCGAAGTGAAACACCGCGTGTTACATTTCAATAAAATTTGTTTTTCATGATTCACTTTGAAAAACGTTTGCGCTGGTGTTTCGTTTGTAAATACTTGTTGGATGGTGTTTCGGTTCTAGGAATGCATGATAATTTTATTGATAAGGAATGCGAATTTCGATGTGGTGATAACACCAATGGATTACACATGAAATACTGTCCCAGAATCGAAAAAAAAAATTTAAACTTTTTTTTTCGATTTTTGCCTGTTTCGGATCGTCTACATGGGAAGTTTGTATGAAAACCTCGGAGCGCCGGTGTAATTACATTGGTTTATAAGGTAAAATCTAGACATGGCCAAAACTCGGATTTCCGAGCGGAATTCGGCAAAAATAGTGTGTCCATCGCTCCCAAACCCTTATGTATACAAACTGATGGCTTCCCATTGAGCCATCATCAACCAACTTGGAAGTTCCTATTCCCTCGGACGTCGAAAACTCATGCTATTTCGCTCACACTTACGCGCAATTTTTACCCATATTGTTATACACGTCAACAAAGCAGTCTGCTTCACCGTAGAAAAGTAGTGCGCAGTAAGAAAAAAGAACATACATGTTTTGGCAACGTGGCTTCACTAGTGATTATGAATGAACGTAATTTCTCGTTACATTTCTCATTACGTTCATTCATAATCGCTATAATGCAACGTTGCCGAAACCTGAATGTTCTTGGTCGTTACTGCGCACTTCTTTTCTACGGTGAAGCAGACTGCTTTGTTGATGTGTATAACAATACGGGTAAAACACCGGCGCTCCGAGGTTTTCATACGAACTTCCCATGTAGACGATCCGAAACAGGCAAAAATCGAAAAAAAAGTTAATTTTTTTTTTCGATTCTGGAACATTTCGATTCATGTGCCCAATCCATTGGTGTTATCACCACATCGAAATTCGCATTCCTTATCAATAAAATTATCATGCATTCCTAGAACCGAAACATCATCCAACAAGTATTTACAAACGAAACACCAGCGCAAACGTTTTTCAAAGTGAATCATGAAAAACAAATTTTATTGAAATGTAACACGCGGTGTTTCACTTCGAAAAACTCTCTGCCGATGTTACACTTTAAAAAAATCATTCGTTTTTGTATCATAACGATATATTGTCAGAATATGTCTTGTTTTCAATCTCACTCATTCAGTTTATATATGGTTTGTTTTCTGTTTTTGTGAATTAATCAGCTGTGGAAGGGAGAAGTGCAATTGTTTCCTGGCAAAAAAGGAACTACAAAAAATCAATGAAATAAAACGCCAAAAATTCAGTTGAGTAAAATCATTTGGTTTAAGGTAATTTTTATTCATGAACACTTGAGATGCACAGTCTTTTGTCGTAAAACGAGCAGGTAATCATAACTTGACCGCCGTTGCACAGACGATTCGGTGCCCAATCGGCTCCATAGCAAATACTTTCATGTTTATCATTCATCTCAGCGACCAGTTTTAGTTCGTTATGATCGTTACTTATTCGGCACACACTAAAGTTCTTATACATACATGCGCATAATAAAAAGTGTCGATCGCATTTCGATGGTTTGATGCGCCAAATGCCACCGAACAGTTGTAAATCAGTGATGGGTTGTCGCCAGGAGCGTGTATCAAAAATGCGTAAATATTCATCGTATGATCCACTGATTAGGCAATTCTCCGAGTAGCTGAGGAATGACGTGACACCGGCAATGTGGCATTTATTTTTAATCGTCTGCTGAACATCCGACGCTCGTATATCATACACATGCATAAATGTATCGTCACCGCCGGTGTAAACAACATTTGGATTCCATTTGTCAAATGCACACGTCCATGCTTCAAATGAATGCGCCTTCCAAGATCGCTCCTTGACAATTTTTCCCTGTGTTACGGTCAACAGTGATACCATGCCACGTGAATCACTGGCTATTAAGTTTTCATTGTTCGGCGACCCACGCACATCAATCGCCAGCGTTAACAAATTCCCATCACTTTCGGAAGCCAAATTGATTGAATCCACCAGATGCAATCGATCGTCGGGTCGTAATTCATACACGAGTATTTCCGACAATGCACTAGCCGCTATCAATAAACATTTATTCGAGACAACGAGCCACTTAGCGTCTAGAATGGCAGCCGTTTCAATGACATCCAAACGTTCCAAATCGTCCAAATAAATATCATACTTGTATAAATAAATACGGCCGATTCGTCCTGAAACAAATTGATAAAGAGACAGTGGTTAGAGGTGCGGTGTGACCAACAGTATCACTAATGGAATTTTTGGTTGAGCTATACTTGTTGGTGGCTGCGAAAAATCCGTTTCACCCTCTTCCAAATGATATGTACCGCAAATGAAATGATGCGGATAATCGGGATGTGTACACCATTCCAAACAGTCGGCCGGTTGTTGTGTGTCAAGTGTGTGTAGCGTTTTTATTTCCATTGTTCACCACACACGGTTTTCGCTCGAAACGATAAACGATTTTATTTTGATATTTTCCAACCAAATCCAATGCAAACGTACATAGTGAAGCGGTCGACACGTTATTGTTTTCTATGGTTCTTGTCAACATTGTCATCTGCCAGGCTCACACTTACTTATACACACACTCACACACATTCACATGTCATCGATCCAATACATATATGCGCACCGCATATACACCGCTTCACTATCTGGAACAGGCATGAAGTTGGTTAGAAACACCGAACGTGATACTCATACAGAAAATGTCTCATCCATTTGTTGTTGTACGTGGGTCTCTAGTTGTGTCAACAATAAATTAGTTTTTATATCATTCATGGGTGTGTAATCAAAGATTCTATGTTTCGCACAAAAACATTTTCAAATCGAATTGTAAATTGTGGAAAAGTGGTGCAAAACAAACTATAAGAAATCGCTCATAAATTGTGCGTCGAGCCGGAAGTAAGTGTACTTGATGTGATTCATTTGGGAATGAAAAGATTTTTTTTTTTGAGTGATTAAAACATATAGCGACATTTTTTTTTTCGTGTGTGCAATGTGTATATATGGAGATTCACCCGCATCGCTTTCCGTCATACATTTTGATAGCTTTCAATTGAAACCAATTGGCATTGGTTGCTATCGCTACACCGAGATGTTTTGAGATAAATCTATATTTATTTAGTTTTCAAATTGGTGATGCGAAAATGTGTGAAGCATAAAAATGAAATCAGTGTTGTTCACACTCTAGTAGTTTTTGTGCAAAGCCGCTACTGTGGTGCATCTGATGTGTGGCGAGAATAAACTCAATTGGCCGTCACACCTAATGCGCTTCTGATGTGCATCGGAAATCCATTTGCATTCATCTTATTTGGTTGTGCATACAGATATAGTGACACAGTTTGTGCATAGATGTGGAAATTTTGTGTGTTTTTTTCTAGTTTCGATTTACTGTTGAAAAGATTAATCAATTGGCGAATTGTTTGTGTGTTGACAGGTCAGAATGACAGAGAAAATCACACTTTCGGATGCATTATCAAATGTTGAGGTATTGGACGAGTTGCCATTACCCGACGAACAGCCATGCATTGAAGCACAACCATGTTCGGCCGTTTATCGTGCCAATTTCGATACAAATTTCGAAGATCGCAATGGTTTTGTCACCGGTATTGCCAAATACATCGAAGAAGCCACGACACATGCTCAACTAGTAAGTGAAATTGACACAATGGAAAAAATGAATGTTATCACGTCAACAAAAATGAAAATGTTGATAATTCTGTTTGGTTTTCTTTGTAGAATGAGTTACTGGACGAGGGTCAAAAGCATGCTGTTATGCTGTACACTTGGAGATGTTGTTCACGGGCCATTCCACAACCAAAGTCAAACGAACAACCGAATCGTGTTGAAATTTACGAGAAAACTGTCGAAGTTCTCGCACCAGAGGTCAACAAACTGTTGAATTTCATGTACTTCCAGGTAGGTACTATTTAGTTTATTTAAATAGGACCGAAAATTATTAATTTGAATCGACTCGAGTTTCAATTTGAACGAGCTAAATGCTATGGATACTCGAAAATTTGTCTAATTCCATGCAAATCGCTTACCACTCATATTTGTCTCTTTGAAGCGTAAAGCCATTGAGGCATTTTCCGGTGAGGTGAAACGTTTGTGTCACACAGAAAAGCGAAAAGATTTTGTGTCGGAGGCCTATCTTCTCACCTTGGGAAAGTTCATCAATATGTTTGCCGTGTTGGACGAATTGAAGAACATGAAATCAAGTGTGAAGAATGATTACAGTACGTATCGTCGAGCGGCTCAATTTTTGAAAGTTATGTCAGACACGCACACCCTGCAGGAATCACAGAATCTATCCATGTTTTTGGCCACACAGAACAAAATTCGTGACACGGTCAAAGATACACTCGAAAAAATTCCGGGCTACGAAGACCTCTTGTCGGATGTGGTGAACATTTGCGTGCACATGTTCGAAACAAAGATGTACATAACGCCCGAAGAGAAGCATATGCTGGTGAAAGTAATGGGTTTCGGTTTGTTCTTGATGGATAGCGATATGTGCAATATCAATAAGTTGGACCAAAAGAAAAAATTGCGATTGGATCGCATCGATCGTATTTTCAAGAATTTGGAAGTGGTTCCGTTGTTTGGCGACATGCAAATTGCGCCATTCAATTACATCAAGCGAAGCAAGCATTTCGATCCAAGTAAATGGCCGTTGTCAAGCTCAACTGCAATCAGCCCGCAAGCTGATTTGATGGTTCATCTGCCACAGATTCGAGACGATCACGTCAAATACATCTCTGAATTGGCTCGTTACACAAACGAGGTGACGACCACTGTCAAAGACAACCCGACCGATGGAGAGAATCGAATAACCGGTGATTTGGCATTGCGTGGCCTGCAATTGCTGTCCGAATGGAGCAGTGTTGTAACGGAATTATACTCATGGAAACTGTTGCATCCAACCGATCATCACCAGAATAAAGATTGCCCGGTCGAAGCCGAAGAATATGAACGGGCCACTCGCTACAATTACACCGAGGAGGAAAAGTTCGCTTTGATCGAAGTCATTGCAATGATCAAGGGATTGCAAGTGCTTATGGCACGCATTGAAACGGTACTGTGTGAAGCGATCAGACGAAGCATTTATGCGGAACTACAAGATTTTGTGCAGCTCACATTGCGCGAACCATTCCGGAAGGCAATTAAAAATAAAAAAGATTTGATTCGCAGTATTTTGATGTCGGTGCGGGAATCGTGTGCTGATTGGCAAAAGGGATGCGAACCATCCGATGATCCAATTTTGAAAGGTAAAAAAGATCCAGACGGTGGATTTAAAATCAATGTGCCACGCTTGAATGTTGGCCCATCGTCAACGCAATTGTATATGGTGCGAACGATGCTCGAGTCGCTGATTGCCGACAAATCGGGCGGCAAGCGAACGCTGCGCAAAGACATTGATGGTGCCTGCCTGGTGCAAATCGACAACTTCCACAAGACTTCCTTCTTCTGGAACTACTTGCTCAATTTCAGTGAAACATTGCAAAAATGTTGCGACCTGTCACAGCTGTGGTATCGTGAGTTTTATCTTGAAATGACCATGGGCCGCAAAGTCAACAAATGTACCGTTCGTCATCAGCACAATGAGGAGTGCAGCGATCTGATTACAATGGAGAAACGCATTCAATTCCCGATCGAAATGTCGATGCCGTGGATTTTAACCGATCACATTCTGCGCACAAAGGAACCATCGATGATGGAATTCGTTTTATATCCATTGGACTTGTACAATGATTCGGCACATTATGCGCTTACCGTTTTTCGTAAACAATTTTTATACGACGAAGTTGAAGCCGAAGTCAACTTATGCTTCGATCAATTTGTATTCAAATTGAGCGAACAAATCTTTTCGCACTATAAACAATTGGCCGGCAGCATTTTCTTGGACAAACGATTCCGCGTTGAGTGCGAAGTGCTAGGCTTCAATTTCCAATCGTATCCGCGTAACAATCGATATGAAACTTTACTCAAACAACGACACGTTCAATTGCTCGGTCGATCGATTGATTTGAATAAATTAATCACACAACGAATTAACGCGGATATGCAGAAAAGCTTGGAACTTGCCATTAGCCGCTTTGAATCATCCGATATTTCTGGCGTTGTGGTAAGTTAAGAGAGTTTGAATGGGAAGTCGAAAGAATATCTTGTTTAGTTAAATACTTTTTTTCTCAATTCAAAGGAACTGGAAGGCCTAATTCAAGTGAATCGCATCTGTCACAAATTGCTCAGCAAATGGTTAGCTCTGGACGATTTCGAGAGTATGCTCAAGGAATCCAATCATAATGTGTTAGCTCCGTACGGAAGAATCACATTGCATGTATTTGTTGAGCTCAACTATGATTTTCTGTCGAATTATTGCTATAATGCAGCAACGAATAGGTATTTAGCATAATGATTTTACGAAGTTTCGGTTTTCTTCTCTTTCTACCAATTAAAAATGTCTTGAAATCCCGCTTCTGCAGATTCGTTCGAAGCAAAGTGCAAATTTCATTTGCACAGGCAATGCAACGCGATAAGCCACTGCAAATGGCACATCACTATCTGTGGGGCTCAAAACAATTGAATGCCGCTTACTCAGCACAATACGGCCAATACACTGGATTCGTTGGTTCACCACACTTCCATGCGATGTGCCGATTGCTTGGCTATCAAGGCATTGCCGTGGTTATTGAAATCATACTGAAAGACATCGTTAAGCCACTCATTCAAGGAAATTTGCTTCAATTCACAAAAACTCTGATGTCAGCTATGCCAAAGGTGAGACAATGAGAAAATAAACGATTGACGTGGATAATGAAACAAGACATTTTCTCAATTGCACCCTATGTTTAACTTGATATCAAGTGCAAATTTAATAACTTATTTTGGATTTGTTTCGCAGTCATGCAAGTTGCCGCGATGTGATTATGGATCACCTGGCGTATTGAGTTACTACCAAGCACATTTGGTGGACATAGTGCAATATCCGGATGCAAGAACCGAACTCTTTCAATTGTTCCGTGAGTTTGGTAACAGCATCATTTTCTGTTTGCTGATTGAACAGGCATTGTCACAAGAAGAAGTGTGTGATTTGTTGCACGCAGCTCCATTTCAGAATATTTTGCCCCGACCATTCTGCAAAGGTTTATACACTGAAAAAATATGCGATAAATTAACACATGTTTTCATTTATTAATGTTATTCATATTATCCGATTCCATTTGCAGAGGGTGAAAAACCAGAAGCAAAACAAAAGAGGCTAGAAGCCAAATACACAGCATTGCAAATCGTTCCGAATGTGGAAAAATTCGGAACGGCCAAACAGGCACGAATTGCACGCGAAGGTGATTTGCTGACCAGAGAACGGCTATGCTGCGGTTTGAGCATATTCGAAGTAATTTTGGGTCGGATCAAGGGCTATCTAGACGATCCAGTTTGGATGGGACCATTGCCAATCAACGGAGTCATGCACATTGACGAATGTTCAGAGTTTCATCGATTGTGGTCGGCACTTCAATTTGTCTATTGCATTCCAGTTGGTGCTGGTGAATATACAGTCGAGTATGTGAATGTTCAAATTCATTTGTGTTTTCTTCAACAAAAAAAATCGTTCACTTATGTCTGATATTCTGCTACTATTTCAATTTACCAAATACAGAGAGCTGTTCGGCGAAGGTCTTCACTGGGCTGGTTGTGCAATGATTGTATTGCTGGGGCAGCAGCGTAAATTCGAAGCATTGGATTTCTGTTATCACATTTTGAGAGTTCAGCGTGTTGATGGCAAAGATGACACAGTCAAAGGCATCGTAAGTAACAGAAAAAAATATGTTTGAAACTGGACGAATTTTTAATTGGGAGTCTTTATTTTCCACAGAATCTGAAACGTATGGTCGATCGTATACGACGTTTCCAAGTGTTGAACTCACAAGTATTCGCCATATTCAATAAATATTTGAAGAGCAACGACGGCGAAGGTTCAAATGTTGAACATGTTAGATGCTTTCCACCACCACCGCATCCAACGATGATGACTTCACATTATCATGATCCAAATAAGCTGCGTCCACAAAATTAATGACAGACAAACAGCAACCAATGTTAAGCATATTTAATTGAAAGACTCACAAATATTATTAGTAGCATTTATTATTAACACAAAAAAACAACATCAGCAACAAGAGAAATTACATGTCAACTTCGAAATTCGAAATATGAAAAGCGAATACGATAGTTTACATGATGTTTATTATGCATTGATTGGTAAACTTTCTATATATGAATAAAAATGATAACTAGGTCAAATACAAGAGTTTTTTTTATAACTATAGCCTTATCATCAAAAATTTCATTTGACAAACTTCTTGATTACTTCTGCATTATTCTTTTACTGCTACGTTATGTTTCCACCAAAGTTTTAGGAACTTTCAGATATCTCGATCAATCAAGTTATGCTGTCATAATTATTGGAATCGGTTTTTCTTTTTTCCACGCTGTTCGTTTGACTCGACAAACGCACAAACGCACACAAATGAGAACCGATATGAGAGCAAAGAAAATTATTGAAACCTGGAACGATATTCAAATAATAACAAAACTCAATAAAAAAACTACGCTACAAATATACCGCGTGTATTCCCTGCGCACGCTACGTTTATACCATTTTCACGCTTACGCTTATTTTATACATAGTTTAATACAGAGCCGAAGCAGTGATTGCGATATCGCTCTCAGCATCTCATAGGATAACTGAACGAGATAATTCAGCTAGCTGAGATGACGCAGCGACGCAGCGACGCAGCGACGCATCGCCTAAGTCTATCGCCCGAGTCTTTGTGATACACACACACAATTCGATGCCGCGCGTCACTAAATGGGACTGAGTGTATAAGGATACCGCTGGGCGCATTGTGTGTATGTGTATCGCACAGACTCGGGTGATGCGTCGCTGCGTCATCTCAGCCAGCTGAATTATCTCGTTCAGTTATCCTATGAGAT